ATTTTGTTTAACCAATTATTGCACACTTTCTGTAAATCATATAAACTTCCTTTCACTTCTCAAATATCACTGTGTTTGTCCCCTATATGATATATTTAACAGATTTTTTTTTCATTCAAACAATCAATGATTTTTAAAGGTTAATCAGGAAAATTAACATGGCTGCCCAAACCTTTTCAAATGACTGTATGCTTGTTTAGAACATACCTTATTTCTCCACATGTTAATAAACTTTTAACCTGCACCTTAAACACGAAAAACGGAATAAGGGAAAAACAGGAAAATTATTAAAAACAAAAACAGTAAACAAAACTTCAAATTAAAAGTTTTTAGGTCTCAAATTACTTCTCCAGTAGTAACTAACATTAACCACTTCTTTCTCACACTGAACATTTCCTTCTGAACTGAAAAAGAACAAACCAAAAACACAAGATAAAAGGAATTTTTAAAAAATTAAAAAGCTTTACAGGAAACTTCGTTATTTAGACCGGGGATTTTATGCCAGACTTTGTTGAACCATGGGAGAGAGAAGACAAAAAAAAAAAAAAAAGCAATATAACCCATCTTCTGTCAAATTTGATGGATTACCTAAAGGTCAAGGGTCAAGGTGTGACCTTTAGGGTCATGGAGTGACTTTTAGGGTCTTGGGAACTCCCCCACCCCCACCCCACTAACCTAAACAGGTGTGACCTTTAGGGTCATGAGAACCAACTGGCAGGGTTCTTTAACTGTTGGACTGAGTTGTGTAAGCCAGAAACTTTCTGTTATAAACAGGTTGCTATACTAAGTCAGGAATGTCTGGACAAGCAGGGGGAAACATCAGAAAGTTACTTTCATTGGTGTGTGTGTGTGGGACTCATGAGTTGTTTACAGTGGGTAAGAACAGTCTGACTTCAAAGTCATACATGTAAAGAATGAGTCTTTTGATCCTGTCAATCAAGACTGGTTTTAGTGAACCATTGTAAGGGCTCTTTTAGTATTTTAAACAATAGCAATGACATCATGCATGGAAATAGAATTTATTTGTCTGATGAATGGTCCCGTTGCCTCTTTGCCTCTCTCACCCACCCCTCATTTCCATTTCTCCACACACAAGTGCACACACACACACATGCTGTCCGGTGACCCCCGCCCCACCCCGTTTCCCTCTGTCATTTCCTTTTGTCCCTAACACACACACAAAGTGGGAACTGAACCCTGCTCCGTCTCTCCCCCTCTCTCTCTTACACATGAAAAAGTTCACTCTCTGTTAAGTTAAAAAACTTTAGTTTCCTCGTTTTATAAGTGCTCTGTGTATTTTTAATCTGCAATTTGTGTTAAGATTCGGTACAATCTTTAGTCTCTGTCGTTTTGTGTAATATTTAGCTACTTAGGCCATCAATCTAGCTGAGACTTGATTTACCTGTTTCACTGTTTTGTTGTCTTGAACTGAGTCTGTTGTTCATAATAATGAATGTCCTGATGCATCTCAGTAATTCAGGTAGAAAAAAATTCAAAAAGAAAAAATAAGTAGGTCCTCTGGATGGGTTCTTCTTTAGTGAAACATTTCGTCTCTCCTCCAAGAGACTTCTTCWGTCTGATGAGCTTCAGGTGAACTCAGCCTTATAAGCACTGCCTCCACATGGACAAACTGGTTAGTCACATGCAAAAGAGGGCCATCRCTTAACAATAGGCTTGGGAATGATGTTTGATAAACAGCAACAAGAATGATTACTTCTAACAGATATTGTCCTGCTCTTAAAACACTGCGTCCAAGCGAAAACAGAAGATAAACAGTAAAATCATAAAACATAAGGACATTTTAAAGTAAGCAAAAGAGTTCACTGACACCTGGTCTGAGAAGAAATGTAGGACTTTAAAGGATAATTTATTTTTCCAAGACACATACCTTTAAATAGTAATAAATCTCCCCGGGTAAGGCAGTTATGGCCCCATAGGCAGTCTCTGATAAAAGGTCCAGTTTAAATG